CCAGTATCTAGAAATGTTCTTTGCTCCTATGTATAGACCGGTTCCTGCCCTTACTGAAGTCAATAGCAAAAGACCTGTTGTCAGGATTGGACCCTAAAAGAGTAAGAATTGCAGGTTGTAAATGATTGCTTGAGCTACACAGGAGATAGGCTACACCCATTTCCCCATGCAGACGGCATGTCAAGAATTACCCCATTGGGTCTTTGTTTTAAAAAGTGTGATGAACTTGAATATCCCATACCCCGTTTTCCTTGCTTAGACCTCAGCAAGATGACCAAAATAATCCTTTTAGATAACACCCTCCGCCCCCCCCCCCCCCACACACACACACACAGTAGTGGCCCAGATTCTGCTCTCAGATCCAGCCCTGCATTCATTGTAACTCAAAGCAGAATTTGGCCCAACCCTCTGACGTTGATCTTCTGAGCTATCGTTTGTGTCTTAGTTGTTTTTCTTTTTTAATCTGAAGTGTAAACCTCTGTGTGTTTAAAAGTGGCACAATATATTGTGTGAGGCAGTGTTCTCGGTTTATCTCGTTTTTGTTTTCCCCCTTTCTTAGCTGACTCAGAATGTTATTTGCTCTGTGACAAAGACTGTGGCTACTTCTGCAGTATTCGGTCAGTCGAAATACAAGGAAGCAATAATGTAAGGTCAATGGGTTTAGACTGAAATATAATAATCTGGCACCCTAAAACCTGTTTTTCTTAATGCCACAGTTCCCAGGGTCATGCGATTGAGTGAAACACTACTCTTACATCTAAAATGAAAACTAAGTTTCTAACCCTCACGGTTGTAGAGAAAAGTTTGCAAATGTGAACATTTACAGGCTTGAAAAACAGAAAGCAAAATAAAAGGACCCCTCCCCCAATGTACTGGCTTTTTTTAATCTCATTATTTCTGTGGCCATCTAATGGATATTTGGGGACCTGACTCATGGTTTCTGAATGCTTGGGCTGGAAATACTGAATAAATATGTATCTTTAGAAGCCTTCTTGTAATCTGCCTCCTTTAAGCAGGGCCAAGATGGGTGAGGTAATATCTTTTATTGCATCAACTTCTGCTGATGAGAGAAACAAGCTGTCAACTGCATGGAGGGGCAAACAGGGACAGTGTCTTCCTTTCTCTCTTGAGAACTAAACCCATTGGACACAATCCAAACCTCATTTTGACCAATAGAGAGAGACTTGTTATTTGTATTAAAATAGTGCCTTGCGGGTCGAGTGGCCTCCTTGTACTAGGCGTTGCAAACACAGAGTGAGAAAGTCCCTGCCCGAAAGAGTTTACAGTCTGAAGAGACAAGACAGACTACACCTCTCGGTTCCTCTGCTTCCTCTCCCAGGTTAAGTGTCTTGCCCAAGGGTACACAGCAGTTCAGTGGCAGAGACAGGAATGGTTGCCTGTCTAGTGCTCGATCCTTTAGAACAGGGGTCCCCAACGCGGTGCCCGCGGGTGCCATGGCACCCACCGGGGCGTCTAAGTGCATCCGCATACTGGCCGGCGGACAAGCATCCGCCGAAATGCCGCTGACAAGTCACGTCATCCGGAGGTATCGCTGCTGAAATGCCGCCGATTTTCGGCGGCGACGCCTCCGGATGACGCGACTTGTCAGCGGCATTTCGGCGGTGATGCCTATTGATGTTGCCGCTTATCGGCGGCATTTCGGCGGATGCTCGTCCGCCGCCACGGTCCTCCGTGGCTCATCGTCTGGCGCCCGCCAGACAAAAAGGGTTGGGGACCACTGCTTTAGAATATGCTGCCTCCCAGTGAATTCAATGGATTCTGGATTAGACTCACTGTCAATATTTAACAAATACAAATGACGGAGGAAAATATTAACTTCTGCATTTCATTATTTGATTTTAAGTGTGGAGTTTGTTGCAGCAACATGGGTTATTGCATTAATTTCTTTTTTTAAATTACTTAACTGTTTGTAAAAACAGAGAGGGAGAAAAGAGTAAATTGAAAATGCAGGCACAGTATTTAAAGCTTTGTGAGACTCTGTTTTGCACAGCTGTTAATTACATCACTATGTTAATGCTATAGAATTAACATAAACACTTATATAGCACTTTTCATGTATAAAACATTATACAAACATTCATCCTGACAGCAGCCATATGAGGCAAATTCAGGATTATCTGTATTTTGCCAATTGAGATGGAGAGAGTTTAAAGGGAAACCATCAATTTTAATAATGTCTTTTCTGCATGAAAATGTGTAATTATTATTATCTGAAATAGATTAAGAGAAACCAGCTAGTCAGGGCATTTTTCAGGGCCTTTTGTTTTGACAGTTCCATGTATAGTCAGTTTCACAGAGCCCATATATTATTGGTTTCCCTTTTCGCACGAGTGGGTTACACAGCAACCGGAGAGAGGAAAAACATTAAAAACGCTCTAAGAAAATGTAACTGTAAAACTGCAAAAATTGATTCAGAGCCATGTGCAGAATCAGAAACTACTTTTAACTTGACTAGATTTCAGGTTTACTGTTCCTTTAGCATTTTGCCTAAGGCTACAGGGGATCAGTCAGGTTTAGAACGCAACATTAATTGAATCCCACTTCTTCAAAGCTGTTGATCCATACCTCTCACTATACACTCTTTTGTAGATGCAGGAAAAGCCCAGCTGTGGGACTATGGTGTGAGAACTCAAAAATCTCAGTCCTAAAATTGTGCATGGATGAAGATGAATTTTAATGGCTTATAATTTAGCTCCATTAAAATAGATTTTTAAACAAACCAAGCAAATATTCTTCAGTAAGAAATGAATGCACCTAAAATTTTAACATTCACCCACTTTTGAGTTCAACTCTGCACCTTTTCTCTTAGTTCAAACAGCTGAATGTCATTTGTGCTGACATTCCGAAACAATCAGCTTTGAGCCGAGATTAAGCAACAAAAATTTAGTCCAAAAAGAGAATTGCCGAGAAAATTGTAAGCAAGGACATTTACGGTGCACACTGGGGCAAGGACTGCTTTCTCTTTTATATATGAATAGCACCCAGGACAATGCAGTCCTGGTCCTCTTTAGGAACTCTGGGTGATTTTGTAATATAAAAAGTAATGATCTCTATTATAGCTTTTATTATAATATAAAGCTAAGGGGAAATTGGAAATTGAAGTCCTGCTTTTCCTGATACCATTCTTTAATTAAATCAGTTTCAGTGATGTTCCTTCAGATTTACACTGGTGTAACAGAAATCAGAGTTTGACCCTGCAACTGTGTAAACAGATTAACCCTATCCATAGGAATGTGCAGTTTGGCTTTCGACTCTTCAAACCCATAAAAAAGTAATTCTGCTTTGCTCTAGTGATGTATAGTTATGACCGAGAAGGCAATTTTATTAAAAGCCTTAGTACTTTCTAAAAATTACCTTCTGGCCTGAATTTTCTCAGGTATGTAATCAGCTCAAGGATGACTTTTTCTGGAAAGATTTGTGTATTTAAAAAATTGGTTTTGTGAGGCACCTAAGAATGTATTTGATTGTACACACATAAGGCATTACTCTGTGTGTTCAGATAACTCAAAACAAGCTGCATCTGAGATGGTCAGACTGGCAGTGACTATATGGCCTGATCCAAATCATAGCCCACAGAACCAATGGATACTCTCAGTGATTTCAGTGAGCTTTGAATCAGTCCCTCTGTCCTTAAAAGCAATTGCTATGCGTGAAAAAATTTGCTTTGGAAATATATTTTGGGTAGGTTGGCTGTTCACAAACGACTTGCAGAGTTTAGATCTATACGAGCTCATATTTGCCATATCACACGTGACATTTTCGAATAATAATAAAATACTTAGCACTTAAAGAATTGTGCTTCCCATTGGGAGCCTGAGGTACACAGACATGATAGTGATTTGCCCAAGATGCATGGCAAATTAGTGACACTGCGAAGAATGGAATCCAGGGATGAAATCCTGACTCTGCTGAAGTCAGTGGGAGCTTTAAAGTCCATTGACTTCAGTGAACCCAGGATTTCAGCCCGAGTGTCTTGACTACCAGCCTGCGCTCCAATTGCTTGACTGCACACCTTGGACTGGGCAGACACTGTACTAATGTTGACTGATCTGGCTCCTTTCATCCTTACTCTTGGATTATTTTTGCCATACTTATCCAGATGTGCAGCCATTAGTGGTTTGCATTGGCTTTTACACAGTGCCGCTCCCGAGAAAGGAAGAAAAGCAGGAGAGTCTCTACAAAATTGCGTCCTCAGCACACTGTGACCTCATATGTATGGTGCATGCAAAGTCACTCTGTGCAGAGGATGCCATTTAGTTGAGCAAAATGGCATTCTCCACGCATTGTGACTTCACACACACTGTACATGGGAGGTCATGCTGTGCGGACCAAAATGGAATCCTCCGCATGGTAGGGATGGCCGTGACCCCATCGGCTGATGGCACGACCCCATTTAGGGTCGCAACCCACAGTTTGGGAACAGCTGCAATCAGATATTACCTAAAGCCATCTAGTGACAAATAGATTGAACCATCATGGACTAGAGTATCTTCTGATGCACGTGTATCTTTTCTGTAGGTCTGTAAATGAAATAACAATTTGGCCCTTTGAACCCTGCAGGTCTGGCTGGAGAATCTTGCCCACATGCTCGGGGTTCTGCTGATCACCATATTTGGGGTCGGGAAGGAATTTTCCTCCAGGGTAGATTGGCAAAGGCCCTGGAGGTTTTTTGCCTTCCTCCGCAGCATGGGGCAGGGGTCGCTGGCTGGAGGATTCTCTGCGACTTGAAGTCTTTAAATCATGATTTGGGGACTTCAACAGCTGAGTCAGGGGAGAGAATTATTCCAGGAGTCGGTGGGTCAGCTTTTGTGGCCTGCATCATGCGGGAGGTCAGACTAGATGATCATAATGGTCCCTTCTGACCTTAAAGTCTATGAGTCTATGAGTGAGTTGTGCAAGTTTACATTTTTTACACTGAAATACTGCAGGGAATATTAGTGTAGCCAGAGAGAAAATATGTCCAGGGGAAAACACAGAACATGCCAGACTGGCTCAGACTTAGCCAGTATCATATCTCCAACAGTGGTCAGTACCAGCTGCTGCAGAGGAAGGTATAAGAACCCCACAGAAGGAAGTTGTGGAATAACCTGCCCCCAGAGAAAGTTACTTCCTGACCCCCTTTATTTAGAGGTTGTCTGAGTGCCTGATGCATGAACATTTAGCTCCTTTCCAAAACACTTATTTTAATCTTTGCTGTAAGTGTGGAAATTCTAATTGTCCATATAAAGGTCTAATCTCTTTTGAGTCCTCCTGCTAAGCTCTTAGCCTCAATGAAATCTTGTGGCTATAAGTTCCTCAGATCAGTTCTGTGTTGTGTGAAAAGGTATTTCCTTTTATCAGTTACGAATTTGCCACCTTCATTACTTTGTGTACCTTTATCAGATCCCCTCTTACTCTGCTCCGCTAAGGTAAACAGTCCCAGTGCAGATACCCTGTCTAGATTTTCATTTCAGAATGTTGTATGGACAGGGGGGTAAAATTTTGCCATGCAAATTAAAACGGCAAAGGTACATCTGTGTATGGGATAGTGGCACTTGAACAGCTCTGAGGGAAGCGGACGGTAATGTCTCAAAATCTGAACTGTGAACTTAGGCCATAGGAAGAGAGCACTGGAGGATCTTCACAGCAGCAGTACTTTTGGGCCCAGCCATGCGTTCCCTGCCACCTGTTTGCTGCTGAGCTAGTAGTTCTTGCAGAGCAGGGCCCCAAATAAGGGGGGCACAACCTTAGCATGGTTTCCCCCCCACACACACACCCCTCTAAAATCCTACCCTTCTCAGAATAGGGGAACCGCACCAGATCACCCACTAACGAACCTCCCCAGAGAATGGCAGAGCTGATGGACCAGCTTCTGTTGTGTCAGCAGGTGCTGCCCAGGTGCAGAGGGAAGGTAGCGTTGCACCTCCAGGATTCTGGGTTGCTCTGGGGGCTGCTCTAACTGATGGTGGCTTCCCCCTCCCCCAGCTACCAGCTGGCTCCTCCACAGCCCACCATAGCTGGAGATAGTGCCCTGGAAAAGTGCTGATCTGCCCTCAGCACAGCATGAGAGGGATGTCAAGGAGCTATAGCGGAGGGAGACTTAGGCTCTGGGAAACCAGAGGCACGTGTGTCCTACTGAATTCAGTGCTGGAGGCACTGAATTGAAGGGGATGTGCCATTGTCACATGTCACACTGTTGGCAGATGAGAGTAAGGGGGTGGGGAGGCAAGTGAAAAGAGGAGAAAATCAGGTTAAAACATGTGTGGGACGGAGGCTTCCGTCACTTGATTCCCCCCAGCCTGAGAACTGTTGCAGCACGTCTTGCAGGGAATGCCATCAGTGCTGTCAATGAGCACAGACGAGCATCAGGGAGAAGTGAGCAACACCCTGCTTTGATAAAAGCCTTCTGTGTTTGTGACCCGAGTGACCCTGTTCTTCCCAACAGAAATTGCAAGGAGAGAGCAATCCTAAAAATATCAACGACACTATCAAGGAATTGTTTGAGATCATTCCCGGTGACGGGGAGCAGCTGCTGGAGAGAGACGCCTCCCAGTGCAGAAGGTGTGCCGTCGTGGGGAACTCCGGAAACCTTAGGCAATCTCAATACGGCCAAGATATCGATGCCCACGACTTTGTGCTCAGGTGAGTACAGAAGAGACTCAGGGATCCTGAACCTCCTGATTGACTCAGTTATTTAACATTTGTCAGCATTTGTAGGGCCAAATTCTGCATTGCTTTACAGGGCTGCAGGGGGATACACATCAGAGCAGAATCCAGTGCTTGGGTCCTGAGCAAAATCCCACTGAAGTAATTGTCAGTACTTGAGTTGACTTCCATGGGAGTGGGATTGGGCCCTTAGCAACTAGCACATTACTTCTCCCTCAAGATCAGAACTGGGAATTAGTGTCCCTCTCTGAACAAAACGGAGGAGCAAATCCTGCACTGATGCTGAACACCCTCAATTCCCAGTGAAATCAATGGGAGTTGAAAGTACTCTGCTCCTTGCAGGATCAGGCCCCTAGCTGGCCAAATGCATCCTTAGCATCACTCCACTAGCATAACTGAGCTAGTTTGACCAGGGTGGAATTTGGCCCCATGTGTTAACTGTCCTAACCTGGCCTTGTGCCTGCTTTAAATGATGATGGGCTTCGTATAATTGTGTTTCCGATTCTTCATTTAAAAACCAGAGATTTTAAATAAATGTGATATTTGCTTTTACTGCTGATAGTTGGGCTCCCAAAGTGACTTTTACAAACTTACACTGATATAAAAGGCCAAATTCCGCTCGCTTTTACTCTGGTATATTCTCTACCCAGAAATCACTTCACTACTGACATGCCGCTACTTTTGCAGTGGAATGAAGTAGCTGTTCTATAGTGGACAGTAAAACCCCAGGTAGGACAGGAAGCAACTAGACAACACCAGTTGTGTTACAGTGAGCAGCATCACTAGTCCTCTCAAGTAGCAAATGATGACCATCGTGTCCAACTGAAAGTGCAGGGGTCCTTTTAGTGAGGCAGAATGGAACTTCCCCAATTGGAATTTAGCCTGGATATCTGGGTTGAATAACCTGATCTTTGCAAAACTTGCCATGGGGGATTCAGCCGCCACAGTGGTCAGAAGCTTTGTTTAAATCTCAACCAGCACAGTGAGTTCTCGCACTATTCGGGGGCACTGGTTCAGTACCAGCTCAGAGAAAAGAGTCCTGCCTATGGAATTGTCTGCACCAGAAGTATCTGGCTGGCGGGAGTTCTCCCATCCACCTGCTCTCTGGCATGTTGCTGCTAACCCTGTGGGATACAGTACAATCTGATACGGCTGCTGGCCTCTTTAGCTTCTGAGGCTTTTTTTTAACGGTAGCTAGGGAATAAGACACACAGATGTTTATCCCTGCTTTGAGACCTTACTGCTTACATCCTTGGGAGTGAGCCCAGGTCTACACTAGCGGGGGGGGTCGACCTAAGATACACAATTTCAGCTACGTGAATAGAGTAGCTCAGTGGTTCCCAAACTGGGGTTCGTGAACCCCTAGGGGTTTGCAAAATGTTACAGGGAGTTCTCAGGAAACAATTCCCTAATGGCAGACAGAGCTGTCCCTAGGAACCCTGGGCAGCACGGGGCCAGCAGCCCAGAGCCCCTGGACTCCCAAGAGCTAAGCAGATCAAAGCAAGCATCTCTATCAAACTTCAAGACTCCTTATAAGAAATGGAAAGGGAGGTGGATATTTTTTGCTGTTTTTAAAATTAAATAGGCAGCTAGTCTAATGTGTGTTGTTTGCCTGGACTGCTCAAGGCCTGAATGCTTGTGTAGGAGGAACTCTTTGAATTTGCTTCTTAAATACCTTCCTGCTGTTTCACATCTGATACTCCTTGATGAAACATAGGAGCCTTGTCTTATAAACAGGCGTATTCAAAGAGATACAAGCTACGAAAGTGAGATCTCAGAAGAGTGTTGCTGTTTTCATAATGTAATAAAAATACCGTAATGATAAATAATAATTAATAATAAATAGTGTGTAATAAGCATGTCATAAAAACATATTTTATATTTCCCAGATCACTGCTTTTATAATTTCTACTCGGGTAAAGGAGAAAATCCCTGGGAATATTCATTTTTAGGAGGGGGTTCGCGAGACTTGATATTTTAGTGAAAGGGGTTCACAGGTTGTTAAAGTTTGGGAACCACTGACGTAGCTGAAGTCGGCGTATCTTAGGTCAACTTACCTGGCCGTGAGGACGGCGGCGAGTCGACCGCTGCCGCTCCCCCATCGACTCCGCTTCCGCCTCTCGCGAGCTGGAGTTCCGGAGTCGACCTCCAGAGTCGACGGGGAGCGCGATTGGGGATCGATTTTATCGCATCTACACTAGACGCGATAAATCGACCCCCGATAGATTGATCATTACCTGCCGATCCAGCGAGTAGTGAAGACCTGCCCTGAGGAGACTGTATGTGGTTTTGAAAATGGGTCCTTTTGTCTGTGATCTCTACTCCGGTGCTTTCATGAGCTTTACTCAACACCAGAGCAATACACGCTAGCAACCCCCTGCTATGATGAGCAGTGCGGCTTTAAGCTTAGCCTTGAGCCTTATGCTGTGAAAGTTGTCACCTTTTCATCCTGTCCTAATAGGAACAAAATAAAAAAAAAACCCACCCCATTCTGACATTTGCATCCCCATGCCATGATGTTGCATCAATGCATGATGATGATTCATCCCCCCACGGTGAGCCGATGTTCTCACATATTGACTCAGTGCTCCAACAGAAAGGCCAGCCTCATGACGTGGTAACAATATGTTGTTGAACATAAACTAAATTCAGCTTCCATTGTCCTGTAAGCTAAAGGCCAAACTCTTCTTGACTTGCTGCTACAGCAACACCGTTGGCTTCAGTGGAGCTACCTGTGAGGGAAAGGCTTGCAGAATTTGGCTCTAGATTTTCAGCATACAAGTCAGGCCTGGGAAAACTTGAGCTCTTCTATGGACAAATGGCAACACTGAATTTGTCACCTGAAAAACCTGAAAGGAAAGATCTAGAGACTCTTTAAATTATCTGTAGATAATTTTGACCCTGGTGTCAGAATACATACATTGTAATTCACTAGCTCGGCCTTGAGACCCACCGGAAAGTGCTACTTTCAGGGTGAAGAACTCAAAGCACAAGCAGAGCCCAGCTCACCTTGAGAGTTCCCTTCCAATCAGAATGATTGATTGGGCCCTGTTCTACCCTTAGATATGCAAACAGCTCTTGCTGGACACAATGGGGGCTCTACGAATGGCTGGCTGAGGCTGACAGTGGCAGTTCGTGGAGATGTTTTCTTTGGTTTCAATCCCAGTGGGTTTGTGTTGAGACCCTGGAGTCTGGCTGTGATCTGGGTTCAAATGAAGCCCCAGACTCCCACTGAAACTACTAGACCCTCCAGCAGATCCGATTCTCTCAAGGCTCAAACCGCCTTTCTCTGATCCCAGGTTGGTTATGAAGTTTGCGAAACAGCCTAAAGCCAGCTGAGTTTTTTATCTTGCTTGGGGCTTATTTTTGGTAACAGTAAAGGATGAGTGTGAAAGATGGAATGTCATGGTCGGCATCCTCCATATCAGAGCTGTCATTTGTGTGTGTGAGGAGCTGAATGGCATGATCCATTGGTTAGCGCATGTGACTGGGAGCTAGGGAACTTGAGTTTTAGTCCAGGCTCCGACATTTACTCACAGTGCAACTTTCGACATGTCCCTTAACCAATTTGAGCCTCAGTTTCCTCATCTGTAAAATGGGGATGAGAGTTGCCCTCCTCATGGGAGTGTTGTGGGAGCCACTCAATCAATATTTGATCCTGGTGCATTGGTTACAACAGTGTCACTGAGAGCGGATTGCACTGCTGTAACGGACCGCTCACGGTAGCTTGCTATGTGCCTACCTGGCTCACACGGAGCAGTATCTTAATCTGTGAGTAGTCCTACTGAAATCAGTGGAACTACTCCTGGAGTAAGGCACGAGTCATTGCCACGAAGGGTGGCAGAGTCCTGCCCTGTGTTTGTAAAAGCCCTTTGACCTGACTTTGAGGCCTACTGTTTCTCACGGTCCTACATATGACTTCATTTAAAATGAGATCACTTTTTACCTCGACGCTACAATTCCTTACATACACTTCCATGTTTCAGTGGATTAGAAACTAAGGGCCTACTTCCATTTACACTAAGGCCTCTTAACCCTTGGCTAATGTAATTTTGAGCCTTTTATCGTGTCAGGGCAGTTAAGGGAGCCTTAGGATAGCGGCCATGAAAGGGTCCTGGGTGGGCGGGGCTAGCCTTGACTTCATTGCTCTAGCTAGCTTTGATCTAGCTTGATTAAAGCTAACACAGGTATATCTACACAGGCTGCAATCACACCTTCTGATTGCAGAGCAGACATACCCTTAATGGAGATGAGGACCCTGCCCAGTAACTGTATTCTCCGCACACCCCAGCTAGTAAGTTTGGGAAACAATTCTCCTCTTGATTTTTTTTTCTCTCTCTCCTTTCTGGGTTGCAGAATGAATCGCGCTCCAACTGCCGGGTTTGAATCGGACGTCGGAAGCAAAACCACTCACCACTTAGTTTACCCCGAGAGCTTCCGAGACCTGGCGGAAAATGTCAGCATGATTGTGATCCCCTTCAAAACGCTGGACCTGCGCTGGATTGTCAGCGCGCTCACCACGGGCACCATAAACTTGTAAGTAAAGCTGAGGCCGACAGGTGCTCAAGCTGAATGGGGGACATAGCAGCTGTGTCATCATTGTGACGCTTTCTTGGGGGGCCCAGGATTGTGAGTCACCTTGTTACCCCCTAGCCTCCAGTATGAGGGAGTCCAGGTGGTAACTGGGAATCGGCTCCCTGACACTGCCAAGCCTTCGGTCACTCAAGAACTCTCCTCAGGGCTCTGCCAGCCCTTACTTTGCCTGGCAGGTTCACACTTGGTGCACCCCAGTCCTGGAACGCCTCAGAACCATCCCTCTCTGGTATCCGGCCCCTGTCATTGGACACTCACAGGAACTGCCAGGTTCGCTGTTCCCAAGGGAACGGTATACACACCAGCTTGTTTGAATCAATGGGGGATTCACACTTCCTGCCCCAGCACTAAGAAGTATTTATAATAGAAACAATAATACATTTATCAACCAAGAGCAAAGATTCAAAAATTCAAATGAGTGGGTGAGCATGAATATTGGAAGCAGAATTGATTACACGTATAAAACAAAACTTAAAATGCAGTCCTAGGTCTACACTTACCGATGGTTACCTTTCCTGTTTATAGAGTAGATTCTCTCCCAAGGATTCAGTCTTTGACAGAGCTGCTGGTTGTCAGTCGTAACCAGGATCCAGGTTTTCATGACTACCCCGACCTTTCAAGGGGTTTTCTCGTAAATGGATAACACAGACGTCCTTTGTCTTTTCTCTTATACCGCAAAATTGTGTTTGCACCCCCGGGACAAGACTGTGGGTTTAGTCGCCGTGTTGACTTCATAGCCTTGTGTTGATTTGGAATGCAAATGTAGATCCCATTGTGTTTGGCTTAACTTTCAGATGAACTGAGACAGGTCAATAAACATCCTACTCTAACAGAAAACTTGTTTGCCAACTCTGCCTCTGAACGTATCTTCCGCACATGTACATAACTCCTTAAATATCACCCCTAAGTACATTACCCCATGTGATGAAAGCTTCCGTTAGCCACCTTACACAACCCTTTGTGGATAAATACTATGAAAGCAGTGTGTTAAATGTAGTGAGTTTGTCAGACCTGATAGAGAGTTTCTGTTACCAAGCATTGAATCCTTTGCCATTTGGCATTGAGGGGTTCTCTGGGTCACACTAGTGTATTAGCACAAAGTGTAACCACAGCACAAGAGAGACGAGGCCAAAAGCGCAGCATTGATCTAAATTCCACCTCTACCTGTGCATCAGAGGATTCCAGTTCTGCAGGCACACTCAGGAGCAGAATTTGGCCCTGCTGCGTTTTGTTTTCTGGTAACAGTTTGACTTTTGGGCGCATTGTGTGGTGCGGGCGTTCAGAACAGACTCCTCTTTGTCCCGTGCACAGCAAAACTGGAGAAATGGTAGAGAATGTTTGCTGCTGCTCTAAATCACCAGTGTCCTAGTCAGTTTCCATTTTGATTGCTGTCTTCTTGACCTGGTTTCTGGGACAATGACTCATTTTGGCTGCTCACCTCTCTCCTCTAAGGTGGAGTTTGTGGAGGAAATGAGTGGAAACTGTATTTTTTAGCCTTCAGATACACGAGGCTTCTATTGGTCATAGTTGAAGATAGAACTGGCTGGTTGGAGGGACCTCCAGTGGGTCCTTCATTATCCATTCTTCCAGCATGGAGCTGACAAGTGGCATCTGGCTCCTAATCCCACCAGCGAGACTCATGTACTGTGTGATCCATCCTGCTAAGCACTTCTGCAATCATTATCCCCATTTTACAGATGAGGAAACCGAGGCATAGAGAGGCTGGGGACTTCATCAAGGTCACACGGCACATGAACACCAGAGGCAGAAAAAGAACCAAAGCTACCTAGTACCTAATGAGCCCATTTGGTCAAGTCATTTAATTGGTCTACCTCAGTTTTCCCCATCTGTAAAACATGGACAGTGATCTCTTAAGTAGCCTACTTCCTCCACAGGAGTCTGGGGAGGGTTAATTGGTTTAATGCTTGTAGAGTTTGGAATAGATTTGCATGCATGTATCAGAGATCAGGTTATATCCCCAGTATCACTGTATTTGAAAAGTTCAGCAATAATAATGAGGGATTGTCAGAGTAATTATAAAAGGGAGAGCTTCTTCACAGTCTTTCTCTCTTCCTCCAACTCCCAATCCCTCAGTTCTGTCCTCTCCTTCCTTCCCTTCTCCCCAGCACATAAAGCAAACCTAGTGTTAGATTCCTTGTGTGATTTCATTTCCTGGTGGGGTATTGTCTCCCATTCTGAAGCAGTCTGTATAAAGCAAACTGTTTGCTCAAGATCTTCCTAGATCTGTGGCTGACAGCTGGCGGACCAAGAAGTTAGTCCCAGGGAGTGGCAAAGAGGAGTGGTCTTGACTCTGCACAGAATTACCGGTAATTTGTCTCCAGCTGTGTGACTCAGGCAGATTCCAGAGGTTAGATAAACAGAGCAGAGGAAAAGGGCTCAGAACCACCTTGTTTTCCTCCTTCCTGGTGAACAAGGGACCTGCTCCTCGTAGCTCAGAAAGAAACCTGCGGCCCAAGGAGACTATTGACCAGATGTGGGTAGGCAAAGATGCCGTGTCATGGTGCTGTCAGAGCAGACTTGCACCGGTGGGCTAAGCTCATGGTGTAGCTTAAGCAAGAGAGGATGGACTGCCTCGGTCCCTGACTCCCCTGCTGCTGTCTGCCAGGAGGGGCTCTAACCCCACAGGTGGCTCAGCTGGGCGTGGGTCACTTGGGAGCAGGCCCTGTAAGTGCACATGCTGAGTAGGACCTGAGCATTCCGGAGGAGACCCAGAGGAACTCCAGTTGAGTCCACTGCGGGAAAGCCCTGGGGAGTAGATTAAAGGCCCACATCCCCCATCGCTTGGCCAGGCTGCTGAGAGGCAGCAAGCAGAGGCTCCAGAGTGGCTGTGTACATGGGCCTTCAGAAGACAGCACAGGAACACTGAGAGAGGGGCAGTTCTCCCTTTCACGTGCTGGGACTCTCCTGTGAAGGGGATTGGAGATGAAAAGATCTGTGTTCTTTCTTCTTCGTTTGATAAACAAATGGAGAGGAAGAGATGCCAGGTGGGGAAAGCTGGACCAGAACTTTGTGTCCACCCCCACTGCTCCAGCAGCTACCTCTCACCCTCCCATCCACTTGATGATCGCTGCAGAAGAGCTTGGCGAAGGGGCAAGGGCTGCCTCTGAACATCTGCTGAACTAACCCTGGGTGGAGGGGGAAATTTTTCACTGGAACAACAGTTAGTTGGGGCTTGTCTACACCACACAGCTTTTAGGGACAAGGCTGTGTCGACACAGCCTGGTTGCTAAAAGTCAGCGTGTGTAAACGCTCTTTGTCGGCACTTTTGCCGATTAAATTCTTCCAGCCCCACGAGCGGCGTTAGCTATGTCGGCAAAGCCGCATTCACACTGCCACTTGCGTCAGCAAAACTTTTGTCTTTCGCGGGGGGGCTTTTTTAAGTACCCGTGAAAGACAAAAGTTTTGTCGACAACTTTGCAGTGTAGACAAGCCCTTGTTGAAAGTTGACGCATGAAAGAAGCTTGTGGTTGTACTGTATAGTGAAAGCATCCCTGCTTCATGTTCCACTTTGGTGCCTTAGCTATGATTCATCACACGTTAACTTGTAGTAAAAATGTGTCACATCACAAGCAGTCTTTAAGGTGGCAATTAAACTGTACTTCAGTGACTGTTCTTTGTCAACACTGAACTATGAATACACATAAAACCGACTTATCTTTTGCTTATCAACTAGCATTCACTGGCCCGTCCCTGGGCATGGGTTTTTCTACGGAACTGTGCACTTCCCATTTTTCTTAAGTAGGAAGTGATATCCTGGTTATAAATCATGACTTAGGGTGTTTGCCCCACAGCACCCATCATTGATGATGTCCCTGTGCATGCAGAGAGCAAGTCTGTGTCAAGCTATTTCCCTTCTGGGAAAAGTGTTTTGAAACGTTTTAGCCCTTTGCTCAACCGCAGTGCCTAAAGCAGAAAGGAAAAGTGGAGATTTACATGAATATCTTCACCCACTGATGATCAGAGCTGTTTGAAATGTTGCTAAGGAAATCTATTTCTAAAAAAATCCCAAATCTGGCCTTTTTCCAAAAATGAAAGTCAGTTTTTGTTTTTTTTTTTTTCAGAAACCCTTTCTTTTTTCGCAGTTTCCTATTTTTTGATTTTTTTTTTCCTAATCCCACTCTTGCTTGAGAGACAATGTCACATGCTGGGGATTTTGAAAATCCAAAATTTTCAAAACTGGAAAAGGGGGGGTGGAGGGGGGGTGGAGAACGTCGCTTTTGAAAATTGTGATTGGTTTAGGCAAATTAATTAATTAAAAATGCAATTAAAAACTGCAGAAAATTTTTGAAAAACAAAAAATTGGTACATTTTTAAAACAGGCAGAAGAAACCCATCTTTGACTTTTTTCCTCAGGTTCATTTCCCTCTCTCCCCCCTCCCCCACTCCCGCCCAAATAACTCTATGGATAATAACAATCTGTGAGAAATTCTGCTCTGAAGTCCTGAACCAGAGCCTATGGAAGTCAACAGGAATCTTTCAAATAATTTAGATCAGGTTCTTAGTTACACCTTTTCAAATCAGTGGAGTCAAATCACTAGCATTACTCCCGATTTACACCAGAGTGACTGAGTTCACGGTCTGGCCCTCTGTCTGCAGCTTTGTACTGATTATTATAAAACACAATGGAATCCTCTAATCTGCCTCGTTAAATAATAGGCTTTGAGGCAGGAGTAAATCATGTATTGTTTATTCATTCATAGAACGTATCCCAGCACTTTGCAGAACATCATCAGCCAAACAAGCACTTATGGAATAATAAACCAAACAAAAGCAGCAACTGGAGGTGCCTTTGGTTGTGTTTTAAAACAGACGAGGCCCTGCTTTGCAGACAGACCGCAAGGCCCGCCCTTGCCAAGCTGCCCATACATAGGGGCTGGCTGCAGCATGGGTATCAATCTCCCTGAGCTGCCAGTCAAACTGAGAGCGAGTCTGGACACAAGAGGCTTCTGTGCAGCCACTGTGCCACTCGATGAAAATATGGTAAAGAGAATCAGTGGTAAGCTGCCCACGTGGCTTTGTTTCAACAGCCCTGGCCCCAGCTCAGGCCCCACTGTCGGATTGTCAGGGCAGCACTTTTTGTGTCTCAGCTGGTGTAACTGGATCCCTGCTGCCTCCTGATTCCATTCCTCATTCCTCCCTCAGATCAGCTTATGCCTACTAGCTTGTGTGGTTCAGCCTGAAGGCTTTGCTACAGGCCAGTAACGCTGGGGCTGAAAAAGCCCCATATTCAATTTGAACGCTCTCTCCTTCAGACCCAATTCGTGCCCTCCTTTGGCGATTCCTCCCTTAGTTGTGATTTGTCTCTCTCCCATCTGGACTTTAGGTGCTCTCGCTTTCCTTTCTGCCAGGGTGCATATAGTCACCCGGCCGTGCAAGATCTGGAGTAGATGAGAGGCCCTCGGAATGCAGGAACATTTGACGATCACTAGTTCATGCCCACTGATCTGCCCCGTCTCCCAAAGTCCATTCTCTTCGTTCCCCTCACTCATTCACCTGCCGACTCTTGCAACTTCCAGCAAAGGAGCACTCTTGCCTTCACAGTCCCGAATATGACCTGAAACCACCAAGACTTCCTCTGTTGACTGTGGTAACTGTCCACACTACTGGGACTATAGCAGCAGATAGTTATGGCACCATAACTATATCAGCATAACTCCATAGGGTGAGTGCAGCCTACACCAATGGAAGGGGTGTTTCCATCATGGTAGGAGCAGCACCTCCCCAAGCGACGGTAGCCGGGTGGACGGAAGCACTGGATTTTTCACGCCCCTGAACGCCGAAGCTATGTTGACCTAAGTTTTAAGTATAGCCCAGATGTAAGAAACAGCAACAAAGGATAATAGAGAAGGGCTAGATAAGCAGATTAATGTAGGCATGAGTTAAAACTAGGAAGGAGTTAAAAATATACCTAATAATAAAAAAGAGTTAAAAATAAACTCTAAACATTTAGATCCAACCAATAGGAATCTTGCGGTGCTTTCCTTTCCCTCCTTGGTGGTTTGTTCAGATGGTGAGCTCTTTAGAGTGAGGATCTGTCTTGTTATGTTTTACAGCAAGGATCGAGCGTAGTTTAGGGTGCATTATGAACAAAAATGAAACCAGTGCTCTTCAAGAAAACGCACGGACACTTTAAGTGTGTGTGTTTTGGGATCCCTGCACACATGTGACCAGTAGTATTATACCAGAATGGCTTGTGCCTGGGATGTAGAGGAAATCAGGCTTTTCTTTTTGAACACAGGACTCTGGCCTTCACCAAGCCCAGGGACTCGCAAGCACAACTGTAAGATCTAGCCACCAAGAACTTTACATTAGCAGCTACTGGCAACTTCTGATTCTTCCCAGCTGTTTGAGAGGGGAGGGACAGTGTTCTGAGGGCATGTGGGATGGGGCCAGGTACTGTGAGTGGTGGTGTGGGCGGTAACTGCCTTTCTATTAGTAGCAACTGAATAATACCTCTATGCATCCGCTCAAAGTAATGAATCCTTATACAGAACGATTAAGAGGGAGGGAGTCTCCCCCTAGTGGTGAAATGTATGCCAGCCATGCATTAGGCTGAAAACAAAACTCCGCGGTTAAGGTCTGATTCATTTCTGTGTGGTCATTTTTCAATGATATGTTGAAATGGTAGCATATTTTCCATGAATTTGTTATATTTATTATTTTCAGTCAATTATTCTTATTTTAACCTCTTCCTGATATTTTTTTTTAAGAATATACTCTTTTTTTCTTTTTTACTTTAAAATGCACCTTTCATTTGACTTTTACTAATCTGGGTATTTTTTTCTTTAACAGCACATATGTTCCAGTTCCCCGTAAAATCAAAGTAAAAAGAGACAAGGTGAGTTGTGTCTGTTGGTTTATTCTGTTTGTTAATCATCCTGCGGAAATTGCTGCCACAAGATATTCTTGGGACAAATAGCTTGGGAGGATCCAAAGAAGTCTGCAAGTAATTACGAAAGTAATAAAAATACCCACGGTTACATTTTTAGCTGGGCTAAAAATTTACAGCCTTGTGGTTCAGCACTAACTAACCATTTCTGCCCATTATGAAGGTTTTATAGCTTCCTCTGGTACTGATCAGAACCATCTGGCCTATTGGTTTGATCCTATGCAACAATTTCTATGTTTCTCCTTGACATAGAATAAAGTCTTAGAATAGCACTGCTGTAAACATTGAACAAGATATACAATGTTTAGTTTTCCGTCAGCAATTGTGCATGCTTTTTTCTTTTTTTAATTAAATTGCTTGAACTCAAGGCATGATTCTCATTTTCTAGGACAGGAGTTCTCAATCTTTTTTCCATCACTCCCCCCAACTTTTTTTTTAACTTGAAGCCCCGGTCTTATACAATGAGACTTTCCAATGTGCTCTAGATGGAACTGGGGCCATTTAATATATTGATTCCAATAAAGGGGATTCTACTTTAAATAAATCAGTCATTTGAGTTGGCGGTCTAACAGTGCATAGGCCAGGAAACCTTTCAAAAGCACGTACCTTGTTATTCACAGACTTTTCAGGCAGTATTTCTCGATTTCAGCATTGAAGAGTGCTAGTGGGGGTTGTGACCCCGTGATCCAGTTTGTAATGCCACTCAGTGAAATTTGGCCCAGCTGCCCCTCCACCATGACAGAGGGGCAGAGAGGCAAAATTTCAGGAAGTGGCATTGCAACCCCGTGAGTGAGTAGGAAGGATCGCAGCCCTCCCACCCCAGAAAGTTTGGTATGCCTCCCCAGGAGAGCGCCCCGCCCCACTGAGAACTGCTATTCTAGGGAACTCTTTCTTTGTATGCACAAGAGGAAGACAGGTAAACTTTAAACAAATCAGAGGATGAAGTTAATGAAAAACTCCTAATGATTTCAATGGCCATTGGATCAGGCCTACAGAGCATAGTCAGCCTGAGGAATTCACTTACCATAAAGAGGTCAAACAGATGTTTCATGCTTCAGGGCATGAATACTGCATGATTTCACAGGTGAACAATGGGTCATTTCACCTACCTCTGACTTAGGACTACTGCTGGAGGAGGATTCCAGCCCCCACAGATCATTGATTTAGTCTGTTATTGTGTGTTCCAGATCCACTACAGAAAAGCTTAGGTAGCATGCAATGGGTTGTGGGGAGTAATTAAAGGCAGGGAGAGAATCAAACTTTTATTTTCAGATAGCCATTGCAAGCCTTTGGAGTCCTTTAAGCAGGAGACTTTCAGAAGCACCAAAGCAGTTGAGGTGCACGAGTGCCATTGAAGTGAATAGAACTTGTGCTCCTAAACCCCTTAGGCACTTCTGAAAGTCTCTCCCTAAAACTACAAGTACAGTCTTGGAGCCTTAAAATTCCAGCTGCCCTAAGGGAATGGATGGGGTTTTGTAACAAACATTCCTTTCCTGCAGAGTAGGTGGAGACTGAATCTTCCAGTGCCGTGAACTGTCTCCTCCTTGGGCACTGTTCCCCATTATAGACAGAAGCGGCTAGAGGTTCTTGAATTTGATCCCATGTGTGTATTTGATTTTTTGTCACATATTTAAATTAAAAAAATACAGTGAATCTGTTTTAGGTATGCCGATTATTCATGGTCCCATCACTGCTAAAATGTAGGGCACACCTTAAGAAACATGCCGGGAAGCATAATCTAGTGGTTAAAGCACTATGAGTCAGGAGACCTGGGAGCTGCCACAGACTTCAGGTGTGATCTAAGGCAAATCCCTCTGCCTCCGTTCTCCCGCTGTAAACCAGGGGGAAATGATGATACAGTAGGTCCCTATCTGTCATTCATGAACCCTCACATCTGTAAAGCTCTTTTGAGATGCTCTAAGAGAAGGCGCTAAGCTACCATTATTATAGAACACAGGCCCTGGGCGTAGCTGGCAAAGTCAGAAGTCATCCCAAGTGGCTTTTAATTGATGTGCCAAGCCATCCAGCACCTTGGCATTGCCTAGCCTTAATAGCCCCGGTCAGAGTTGCATCCTCCAAGAACATGGCATGGAGTTGGGAAGGAAGTGACATGATTTCTCCAGCAAGGCAGTGAGGGTTTCAGGAAAGGAATGACAAAGGGTGCTGAGGCAGATTAAGCCTGGGCCGAGGCTGTGTGGCGTGTCCTGGCAGAGAGAACAGCAGCAGCTCAGCGCATCGGTGTAGAAATAGACTTCCTCCCCCACCATGAAAAATGTAAAACACCCAGTGAGAAGATATTACACAGAGATATCAGCAATTAACCTTGCTGTAGCTCCCATCACAAACTCGGCATGGGAGGGCCAAGCGGGGCTGGAATGGAAAACCCTAGCCTTAGCCAGCATTGCAGATGATGGAGGTGTGAGGAGTGGATGTTGCCTTTCCACTCTGCTCTGAATGAGGAGCGGCCCCACAGGGAAGGGGAACGGACTGTCCAGGGACTGTTCTAGGCCTGAGTCTGCCAGTGCAGCCCGGGAATGGGGGATGATGGTCTTGAGGACTTGCCAAGCACACCTCTGCTGAGACTCTGCTCTGAGGGAAGGATTTGGGGCAATGCATAGAACCAGGAGTTATAACACTTGCTGCTCTTTGGAACTTTCCAGCCAGGGACCTCAATGTGCTATGTACGTATTAATCTGCCCCATAATTCCCCTGTGAGGCAGGTGAGTGTGATTGGTGCTGTACAAAAACAGAGGTTCAGGAACTTGCTCAGAACCACACAGTGAGACTGAAGCTGAGCCAGGAATAGAAGTCCAGGCCCGGATCCTCAGCTAGGGTCAATTTTTCTCCCCACCCACCCTAACTGTCCTGTTAGGGAACAGCCACTGTTTCTTACGAACTATGAACGCAACTCTCCGATTCTCCACAGATCCTGGTCTATCACCCAGTTTTTATCAAATATGTTTATGACCACTGGCTGCAGAATCATGGAAGATACCCCTCGACAGGCATTCTGTCAGTGATATTTGCACTCCACCTGTGTGATGAGGTAAAGAGCAAACTGTTCCATTCCTCGCTTCAGTGTACACTGATACTATGTTGGGGTCAAGGGCTGTAATTGTAGCAGATGCTAACATGAGAGCCCTAGATCATTTGTTCATCTTCGTTGGCCTCTTTCCATCTTTGCTTCCTCTTACTTCAAGTTTCCTTCAGCGTTTATGATTTCAGCTGTTAGACAAAAGGTGTCTTTGACCCAGAGTCGGAGATAACATGGAAACAGTCGCAAATATAAATGAATTCTTAAACAAAATTAAAAAAAACATGATTAAGCATTAGGGTTTGAAGTGCATTTCAGAGAAGTCCAATTAAACACAAGAAGTCCTCAGCCAGCTTGATCTCATGTAATCCATATGCCCCTTCTGTGTATGGCAGATGGCCAGTTTCCCAGCAGTACCTTTTGCTTTCTGGGCCTGGGAGTTTATACAGTGGGGACAATTCCCTCCACTACAGGAATTACTGGGTGAAATTCTCTAGCCTGTATTATGCAGTTGGAAACATGCAGGGGGCATGGGCAGTGCGTTGTATAGACTGGGGAAGGCTGTGCCTCCACAAACAGCCTGGCGTGGCCCTGCCCACACTCCTCCCCGAAGCCCTCTTTGCCCTTGGCCCCAGCCCAAGCAGATCGTTCCTCTTCAGGGAAGCTGCGTGCTAGGGCTAGGGTGGCTGGGGCCACCCAGTGCTGGGGGCCCCGCCCGGCGCTCGGTTGTGGGGGCGAGGCTGGAGGCACTGGGACTGCCCGCCCTGTGGTCAGGAGCCAGGGGGGCGCGCGCCGCCTGCCCTTTGCTCGGGGCCTGGGGGGGATACGCACCACCCGCCCTATGCGCCGAGGTTGGGGGCTGGCAGCTGCAGGGAGGAGTGGGGCTCCGGTGGGGGAAGGAGGGAGGTCCTCAGACAGTGGGGCGAGGCCAGCTGGGGGCCAGCATCCCCTGGCTGGCGGTTCACCCACCGCCCATGCTGGGGGCGGGGGGGAGAGAGAGGAGGCTCCAGTTCTCTCTGCCCCTATCCCTAGCAGCTGGGGAGGCGGCGGGCCAAAAATTCTAGCCTGGGATGAGATGCAGCCTGCAAAATGTCAGTGGAGTTGTTTGTCTCTTTCTTGCAAGATATGTTTCTTTCTTGGAAATATGTTTATGAAGGAAATCCAAACCCACAGAAGAATAACCTTAACCTGCTATGAAATATTGTTGTTGTCCTACAGAACCAATGCAGCGCAGAGCACTTATTAGGGGGTAAAATGTCCATAGGGCGGAGTCCTGAAGTCGGCACTCAGTCTAACTCCCCCTCACATCAATACTTAACTAAGGACTGAGTAAGAGTTGTAGGATTTGACCATAGTGCCAATAAAGTACCCATCATGCCTTTGGGTATTGATGCACGTGCAGCCGGCGCTCTGGATAGGTAGGCATCTAAATGTGACTAGACAAGAGTTGTCATTTGGAAAAGCCCAATTAAATATGGTAGAGAGGGGCCAAAAATTTCTCCTGTCTTTGAGGTCTTCATTCAGCAGAGAAGGGATTTTCCACCTAGGGCTCATGACTCCTGGGGTCAAAAACTGGTTTAGGCTGTCATGACCACCCAGTTCTTTCAATGTTGCTAAGTGGCAGGGAAGTCCTGGCTAGGCGGAGAGGGGTTCCAGGAGGACTCAGGTATGGAAAAGGAGGTCCCAGTTTGATTTCCTTAGATTGAAAGCTCTTTGGGGCTGGGACTGTCTTTTTCCCCCCTGTTTGTACAGAACCTAGCACAACTGTGTCCTGGTCCATGACTGATGTGCCTAGGAGCTACCACAACATCAGTTATAAATAAGAGCAGTGCAGAAAAGGTTGAGAATCACTAGAGTTTCCTCAAAATGTCAATTAAGAACACACCAAGCCAAAGGCAAAGTCTTTCAGGATGTAACATTTTTCATTCTCTCTCGTTAGGTGGACGTGTACGGTTTTGGAGCAGACAGCAATGGCAACTGGCATCATTACTGGGAAAACAATGCTTCCGGGGGGGCTTTTCGGAAAACCATGGTCCATGATGGGGATTTCGAGTCCAATATCACTTTGACTCTTGCCTCTATTGACAAAATACGTTTTTTCAAGGGCAGATGACCCTTACCATAGGCAGGGATTTGTGGCTGCAATTTCCAGCAGGGGTCAGTTACTGAAGTGTTTGAAGTGGCTTATCGAAGATGATCTTGGGAGCTGACTATATTTGAATATCAGACTCTGCAGCTGAGGAAGTGTGTCTCACTGCTGTGACGATCATTGAATGAAAGTAGCATGCAGTATTGGTGCCATACTGCACTTGATTTCCTTATTTGAGAATAGAGACGTTGGGGACCTAAGGATCAATTATGGGGAATAAATGATGTGCGGAATCACAGGGGATGTATGGAATTATGAAATCTTGAAATACTGGGAGAGATGTGCCTCTTGCTCTTAGGGTAAACTAGGGGATCATTTTCTAGGAATTACTGTATGTGTGTGTGCTTTCCTTGCATAAGGCAGGAATGCCCTGAAGAGGAGAGGTGAAAACAGCTTCCTGAATGTCCCACCAACATGGCTGGCTATGAACACTGTAGTAAGGATTACCTCAAAAGAACACGTTCACTTATTCTGTTGTTGATCTTTTCTTTAAACCATCTCTTCTCTTCACTGTGTCATTTCTGGTTCTGCATTGTATTATGGACAAAGGTGATGTACCTGACTTGCAAGGAGTAATGGCTACCTTTGGCAATGTATCAATCCACATCGAGAAATTCTGGCTCAAATCCTTCATCTCCAGTTAACTGCATATTTTAATGTAGCATCCTACACAGCCATAATGAGACGAAGAAAATGAAAATAAGATTGTGATTGAAAATGCCAGCCAAAATGGCCTTTTTAGCCACTGGTTTGTTTGGGTTTCTTTAAATATAATTTTATTTTATTTTATTTTTTGATAGATACTCTGAATGCTAATTTTTGTTGAATCCATTCAAGGTAGAGCAGTGGACATTTTTTTTCTTTCAGTGCCTTTTATATTGGTGCAACAGATGTAATTTTTTTTTAAAGACGAAAATCCTAAATTAAACTTTTTATAGGAAAAAAACAATTAACCAAAGCTTAGTCTCTACACGGTATCATTTTGTATTCTAAACTAATAATGACATCGCCTGTGTTCTACTTGAGGAGGGTAGTTTTTAAAGGTAACTTTTACCTTTTTTTTTTTTTTTAAAGGAGAAAAAAATCCAAAAGTTGATAGGAAATTTTTTATTCTATTTTTTACAACTTAGAAGGTGATATCTATTTAAATGTATTTAAGTGAAAGTATCGGCACAAGGATGGGAGCTATAGGAGTGAACAGAACTGCATGGGCATCTACCACGGCATATCCTCTATGTATTGATTCTACAGTATGATCCAGACCTCGGAAAGATTTGTGTCTTTAGACAAATGTATATATTCACATTATTACTTCTATGCAGCAAGGGGTGAATAAGAAATGTTGTATTGGAGACTTTGTCTACACAGATTCTTCCTAAAATCTATTTGACCTTCATTTCTGTTGTTCATTGATATTTTAAACATGTGTTAAAGTATGAAATCGGGAGGGGAGGGTGATTTGAGGACGGTAGCACTTGCTTCATAATATCATGAAGATGGGATTCAAGGAATCTATGAACCATATCCAATGCCCAGGGAAGCCAGTGCCAGTCTTTCCACTGAACTTTAGTGGGCTCTGGAGCAGATTCTGAAAGAGCTGCAGGTTTGATATTTTTCTTATTTTGTTGGTTTTTGTTTTGTTTTAGGGGTTTTGTTTGTTTGTTTGTTTTTGTGACTGGAATCTGTGGTAATTAAACACACACACATACCAGCTAACTAAGAAATAGCATGTTCATTCATTAGCCAATTTGGTGGCAGTGTCTGTTTTAGTTACTGCTATGTCAGTACCATAGGTGAAAGCCTGGCCCCCTGAAGTCAATGGAGTTTTGCCATTGACTTCAATAAGGCCAGGATTTCAGCCCCACATTTTTTGCTGTGTCTGGTTTTTCTGAGTGTGTGTACATTCAGATTTACAATGTGATGGCAAGATCAGTCCAATTCTCTCTATTTATGACCTCCATCCTCCAACCACTTGCCAATGTGAGTAACTTTACACACACAAGTTGGCCCACTGGATTCACAGAACATGAAGGACAAGCTTCACACACGTCATTTTCACAGTAGCTGCCAACCTTTTCCATAATAGGACACCCCCCCACACACACACACCCATGACTCTCCATCCGTTTACCCATGACACCCTCCCTTTAGCAATAGGGGAAGGTCAGAGTTCTCGAAACCTGACACCTGTTAGTAACCCCAATATTGAGAGCTGCTGTCCTAGAAAGATGGGCAAAAGAGCCACTCTCATGCAAGTTTCCAGGATAAGGGCATGATTCTGCAGTTGTAACAAAAATTATCTTCTCTTCTAAAATCACTTTGTAGAAGAATGAACCATATCCACCTAAATCATATTTTTGATATTACCACTTTTTAATGATTATTATAATTCAGTGTTTCCCAGGCAGGTAACAAACGACCCTGTTTCCCTCAAAATGGTTGATTTTAAAAAAATACTCTGAGAATTTGATTTAACAGCAGTGTAATGTTTTCCGCCTGTGCTTTGGTGTTTGGGTTTTGCAGAAACTTGTACAACATGAATGCTGTTCTTGCATTTCTTTTGTAAATGAGAAAGTTTGCCGATAAATTCCCTGTATATTTAAGTCATTTCTGGGGAAGACTTTCAAAGGTGCTCCTGGCAGTTCGGCACCGAACTGCCATTGGCTTGTAATAGAAGTTGGCAGTTTGGGGTCAAACTACAATTGAAAATCAATGCGATCTGGTTATCTAACTTCCAGTTTGCTTTGATCATCCAACTGGTTTCTAAGTGAAGAGGCAGCAAAAGAGGCCACTGGAGAATTCCATTCCCACTGCCAGTATTTTCAGCTGTCATCCTGCTAGGAACTGAGAACTGTCTTTTTTTTTTTTTTTTTAAAGGCTATAACATTAAATCTTGAACTGCATTTGCTACCAATGCACAATCTCCAAAGCACTTCTTGATTGCCTGGTTTGTTTTTAACCAAACTGAATTTCTTGAGCACTTTTTTTTTTTTGGTCTCCAGATGCTTCTTCCTAGTTCTCTTTCCTTGGAGCACATTGATTATTCTCATCAGTCTCTGTCAGATTGAAGGGTCACGCATACTTTGACATTTTATTTATTGTTGAATTTTTCAATTCAGTAAGAATCAAAATAAATTTTTTATTCTAATCAATCAGATTGTCAAAGATGTCTCTATCTGTACACCTTCGACTGCTATCTATCAGAGTGGCGTTATCATGAATTCCCAAAGGTAGTCTCCTGTGGTGGTCACCATAACTGGGTCTTAATCTGCCAAAGTTTCTTTCCTTCCCCCACTCAACCAAACCATCACAACTCATGCCTACTCTCCCCTTCAATTTAACTCATAGTTAGAATCATAAGAACAGCCGTACTGGGTCAGACCAAAGGTCCATCTAGCCCAGTATCCTGTCCTCTCACAGTGGCCAATGCCAGGTGCCCCAGAGGGAATGAACAGAACAGGTAATCATCAAATGATCCATCCCCTGTCGCCCAGTCCCAGCTTCTGGCAAACAAACGCTAGGAACACCATCCCTGCCCATCCTGGCTAATAGCCATTGATGGACCTATCTTTCATGAATTTATCTAGTTCTTTTTGAATCCTGTTAAAGTCTTGGCCTCTGCATTCTCCAGACTCAGCAATCCATTCCACCCCTTATGGCCACCTAATTCTCTCTTAAGAATTTGCTCCTGCCTCCTGCTTCACGTAGCTCCAGCTCCTTTGGCTAACAGGGAGAGCTTTTTCCCCACCGTCTCTGGATCCCATGCAGAAGCATCTCTACAGGCAGTTAGATGTATTCCCATTACCCTTATATCAGGCCCCAGAACACTCTGAGCAGGGAAGCTCTGCCAGGCCCACTCGAGTCTCTTTAGCAAACCCTAGGCCTGGTCTACACTAACCCCCCAAGTCGAAGTAAGGTACGCAACTTCAGCTACGTGAATAACGTAGCTGAAGTCGACATACCTTACTTCGAACTTACCGCGGTTCAGACGCGGTCCACACGCGGCAGGCAGGCTCCCCCGTCGACTCCGCGGTACTCCTCTCGCCGAGCTGGAGTACCGCAGTCGACGGCGAGCACTTCCTGGTTCGATTTATCGCGTCCAGACCAGACGCGATAAATCGAACCCGGAAGTTCGATTTCCAGCCGCCGAACTAGCGGCTAAGTATAGACCAGCCCCTAGTCTTCGACAGAGCAGACACCCTCTTATAGGATGCCGTGTCCTTGAGCTACCATCATGTGGACCATGTCAGCCAAAAAACTCCCAACTCCCTATGTAATAATATTACCGCCTCAAGGAGTGGTGGCCAGCCCAAACCTGAGTGATGCTGCAGCCCTGTGCTCCACTCACTCAGATTTGGAAGAGATGGGTATATGGGCTCATGGGTCAGGCTGCTGGTATGTAGGGGGGATGCCGAAGAGGAGAGTCAGGCAAGGGGTTGGGTAAACCTCCCTGAAATCAGTTTGAAAATGTTGGTCAGAATGGCTACCATTGCCTGACCCAACCCCATCACCTGGGATGCAGACAACTAGACAGAAGGCCTGAGCCCAACTCTTCTTAAAGGGCCAGCCCAATTGTGACTGTTGCCTAGTGTGAGAGGCGTTGTCAGGGCTGGCCTTTTGAACCCATTAAGGCTCTTCATCTGCAATAAGCTTTACACAGGTTTGCCCACAAAGGGTTCCTTACTGGGTGTGACGTTACCCTCTGGTGTTATCTGGACCGGTGATCTGCTAGGTCACTCCAATCCTTGACTCTGGGAACCAGCCTTACCCTGCTCTACTGTGAGAACCCCCACTCCTGGGCTGTTCACGCACAGCCTCTGGCACGTAAGCTACTCCTTGGATTGTGCAACCGAATGACACTAGCCAATATTTCTGGTCCCAGATACAACCCTAGGAACCTCCATCTTGCATTGTCCAGTTATGCCCGCTGGACGCTGCAAGCTTATATGAGTTTGTCAATTTAACAAAGAAATTGATATGTACCAGGCTTGTTATCCCAAGGGGAGTCTGACATGCTTCAAACGAAATGCACTGCTTCAGGTAGAATAAACAAACAGATTTATTAACTACAAAGATGGATTTTGAGTGATTATAAGTCAAAGCATAACAAGTCAGATTTGGTCAAATGAAATAAAAGCAAAACACATTCTAAGCTGATCTTAACACTTTCAATGCCTTTACAAACTTAGATGCTTCTCACCACAGGCTCCCCACTTTGATCAGCGCTTCAGTCATGTGGAGTGGTGTCTGTAGATGTAGGTGGAAGAGAGAGGAAGAGCATGGCAAACATCCCTCCCTTTTATCATGTCCTTTCTTCCCTCTTGGCTTTGCCCCCCCACCTTCAGAGTCAGGTGAGCATTACCTCATCATAGTCCCAAACTGACCAAGGAAAGTGGGGGGGGCGACTCACTCGAGAGTCCAACAGATCCTTTTGTTGCTACCTAGGGCAGCATGCTTTGTTCCTGTGAGGCTGGGCCAGGTTTGTTCCATACATGCCCTGATGAGGTGTGAACTGCCTTTCTGCTCTTGGAGAGTTTTGCCTGGGCCTGCTTTAAGCCATGAGGATACATTTTCAGCCTCATAACTATATACATGAAAATTATAACCTATAACAACAATTATTATAACATTACTATAACAACAATGCTCAGTGCATCATGAGCCTTCCGAAGAGACCCACCATGACAAACTTTGCATTGGAGACCACACGATCATTTTATAAAGATGAACGTGGAGGTGTAGGGTGGTCCCCCAAGGTACAGAGCGTCACACTGGGGTACTTAACCTATAGCCAATTGCCCCTGAACTGCTGGGAACTTTTAAGTGAGACGTCTAAACTTGGTAGAGCTGAGCTGCGAAGAAGGGGCATTACATGATCTGGGGAGGTGTCTGGGGAGGTGAAGGAATTGCGTAGGCTCAGTTTTTGGTTTGGCTGGTTATTTTCTGCTGTGGGAAGTTAGGAGCAGCTGCTACTGCTTTACCGTTGATTTGATTGTGACTTTAATTTCTGGCTCTCTCGTAAAGTCCAGGGCAGCTGGCTGTTCTGTTTGGGGGAACATGCTTATTCTACACCAGGATAAATGCCATTTTCAAATGGGTGGTAATGGGGCTGAAAGAGAGAGTGCACACACACACACACACATGTGCAGAGTGAGTGGATGATTTGCCTGTGCATGCGCTCTCACAGAGTAGACATTTTGCCTGGTGAATGGGGCTCGGTAGGTTCAGGTTCCTTCTCTGAAGAGAATCCCAGAATCATAGAATGTGGGGATGGAAGGGACCTTTAGTCCAGCCCCCTGGATTGAGGCAGGACCAAGTAAACCTAGAACATCCCAGACAGGTGTTTGTCTAACCTGTTCTTAAAAACCACCAATGATGGGGTTTCCACAACCTCCCTAGGAAGCCTATTTCAGTGTTTAATTAGCCTTATAGTTAGAAAGTTTTTCCTAATATTTAACTTAAAGCTCCCTTGCTACAGATTAAGCCCGTTACTTCTTGTCCTAGTTTCAGTGGACATGGAGAACACTTGATCTTTGTATCAGCCTTTAACATACTTGTATGGGTATGTCTACACTACGAGGGTAGTTCGATTTCACTTAAATCGAATATGTGGAATCGATATTGCAAAGTCGAACGTGTGTGTCCACACTAAGGACAGTAATTCTACTTTGTGAGTCCACACTAACGGGGCGAGCGTCGATATTGGAAGCGGTGCACTGTGGGCAACTATCCCACAGTTCCCGCAGTCCCCGCTGCCCATTGGAATTCTGGGTCGAGCCGCCAATGCCTTCTGGGTAAAAAAATGTGTCGTCATCCGTCCATCACTAACGCCCTCCCTCCCTCCATGAAAGCGCCGGCGGGAAATCAGTTCGCGCACTTTTCTGGTCAGTGACAGCGCGGACGCCACAGCACTGCGATCATGGATCCCGCTGCGACCATCGCTGCAGTTGTGGCCGTTCTCAATGCCTCGCAGCTTATCATACACCTTTCCCTGAGGCAGATGCAGAGAAATCAGGCGAGGAGGCTACGGCACCGCCGTGATGGCCTGAAGTCGGAGAGTAGCACGGAGCTGTCAGAAACCACGAGCCCCAGCGCCCAGGACATCACGGTGGCAATGGGTCATGTGGATATTGTGGAACGGCGATTCTGGGCCCGGGAAACAAGCACGGACTAGCAGGGTAACCGGTGACTTTTAAGTTTCTGTACAGAGAAGCTGAACCTGCCCCTGTTTCTTTACCCAGTTAAGGATGACTATCCTCTCCAGTTACAGACCCCCTCCACCCCCTTCCAAAAAAATAAAATCAGTTTTATTTTGTTATTGAACACCGTTGTCTTTAGTACTGTTTTCGCGGGAATCTTTGAAACCGGGGACGCAGACTGTGGTGGGGAGCGGGTGTAGTGTACTGATGCAAATGATCCTTCTAAACTCCAGGAATGACAGGATTCGCAGTGGCGGACTGGTTGTTTCAACGGAGCCTGCCAGCCCTCCTGAGCGGGACTGCGTGTATGTGGGGGCTATGTGACTTTATGGCAAGGGGAGGAGGGTTACAGCTCCCCTGCTGCGTGGCTCTGTGATCCAGGACAAGGACCGCTGCATAAGATCTGTAACTGCCCTCCCCCGCCACAAAGTCACAGAGCAAACAACCACCTCCCGCCCCCCACAGAACATGAAAACCACCTCCCAGACTGACCAGGGTAACTAGTCACTGCACTGTGTATGTGCCCTGCTGCTGGACCTGCCCCCGCCTCTGTACCCTGCTAAAGGTGACTGTCCTGTCCAATTACCAAGCCCCTTCCCCCCCTCCAGACAGACTCTCCCTCAAAAGAACCTGACTGAAACAGTAATGAACAGAAATGTATTTTTTATTAACAACCAGACAGGAAACTGGGGGGTGAAAGTCGGACGGGGGCTTGGGTGAGGCGGGCAGGAAAGGACTTTTCAAATTTTGGGGAATGACAGCCTTCTGGTGCTTGAGCAGTCTGCAGGGGTGGAGTGAGAGTTTTCACGGACTCTGCCACCCCTCCTTCTTTGGACTTTGGGAGAGGGGGGTATGGGACTTGGTGGCGGGCGAGTGCGGTTCCTGATAGACTGCAGCGGGGCTCTGTCCTCCTGCCTCCGTTCCTGCAGAACATCAACAAGGCG